TAAGCTCTCAGTCAAGTTTGGTAATCAACAAGAAGTCTTCATATCATTATTGGGGAGACGGCAGTCCCAATAGAAAAGTCCACCTCCAAATGGTGCCCAAATACAAATGGTGTCCAATACAAATGCATATCCACATAAGACCTGAGAAAGCATTAAAAAAAAAAAGATCCTAAACACACAAAAACAGAGCCAATTATGGCTTCCTAGTGTTGTGTCTCTCATGCTGACTGAGGTACAGAGAGACATCTCCAGGCAGCTATCTGAATGCTCGAGTGCCCATGAGTTAAGCCTTGTGGTGGGTTTATGATTTTGCTCATGCAGACAGAAAAGTCTACAGATATACAGTAAGGCAGGTTCAGATGGAAAAATCTCTACGCAGAAAAAGGATACGGATAGTCATAAACAATACATTAAAAATAATAGTATAAAGTCTTTAAAGAAAGTAATAATAATAAAAGGATAATCCACATAGAGATAGGAAATACTCAGGGAGTCTGGATTCTACATGTTACTGTGTTGTCTTTGAGGTTTTTCATTGAAAAGAACAAATGACAGCTGCTGAGAGACATTTGATTATGGAAATTGTCAATCAAATCAACATATATTTTCAAAATGTCTTAACTTTAAAATGGAAGTCAGAAAATGTGTTGCATTGGAGAAGGGGTTATGCCTTTATTTCCACAGGAAGCAAAAGACTGTGGATTTCTTCCAGATTAATAAAGGTCAGATTTGACCAGGGGAGACCTCCTTAATATCTTGGCTACAGACATGGGAGAGAAAGCCAACAAAAAGACTACAGGACAGGTAATGTGAAAGCTGATATTCTGACATGGCTACAGCTCTGAGATGAGAGGAGATGAGAAGAGACCTGATAAATTTTGTTGGTTGCCGAGTCCTCATAACTTATTACATGCGATCCTTTCATAAAATAACAGAAATCATCTTTAACTGACTTGTGTACAACTCACATTCCAAACTTGTGTTAATGCAGAAATGCATGTTACCTTTGAAAGTTTGTGTGTTTTCAGAGCAAGGTGAACAAACACCAATGAAAGCAGGTGACTCAGGTGATCCAGCCTCTCAGGGTGACTCTTGCAGTTTCCTCAGAGATCTGCACCTAGAACAGCTTCAAGACTGCTGGCTGAGATGGTCTAGCCTTACAGACGACTCCAGCCAGGACTTATTGTTAAGAGAAGCTTTTTCTTTTGATAGGGGCCTTCCCGCCTGCCTGGTTCCAGAGCCGCTGGATACTATATATATATCCAACTGGATACTATATATATTATATATTATAAGTGTATTTCTACTTATTCTTATTGTATGTAGTCTGTCTTAAAGCTAAAACTTTATTTAGACAAAAAGGGGGAAATGTTGAGGAATTTGTTTAACTATGTAAAGATGTGTCCATTTATTTAACTATGTAAAGATGTGTTGCATTTTTTATTCGTTTTTCGAAACAGAGTTTCTCTGCATTGTTTTGGAGGCTGTCCTGGAACTTGCTCTGTAGACCAGGCTGGCCTTGAACTCACAGAGATCCGCCTGCCTCTGCCTCCCTAGTGCTGGGATTTAAAGGCATGCGCCACCAACACCCCGCTAATGTTGCATTTGTTTATGTTGCAGAATATTTGTATAACTATGTAAAGATATTCTACATTTGTTTAATTATGTAAAAATGTGTTGCTGTTTTACCTTGTCTGTCTAAGGCACCTGATTGATCTAATAAAAAGCTGAATAGAAAACAGTGAGGGAGGAGGTATATGTAGGTAGGACTTCAGGACAAGGAGAATAAGTAGGAAGAGGATTTTAATAGCTGAATGGAAAATAGTGAGGGAGAAGTGTTAGTTAGGACCTGTATATGGAAATCCATTCCATCCTGCCACAAGTTCAGAGAGCTCAACTCGCTCCTATTGTCCCTATGACATAAGCTAAACTGGCTACAGGATGCCCTGGCCTTGGTGGTGAATGGCTCCTATCTAAATAACAATACACTTGAGCCCAACAGTTCATTCTCAGCCTGAAGGCTATGTGATAGTGCAGCTATAAAGTGCCTAGTAAGTACAGCTATGGAGTGTCCTCAGATTACAGGAAGCAATGACTCTTTGCTCTTTATATATGATAATAGAAGTCTTCTGCCATTGTCCCCACCTTTGGTTGGTCACTTAAGATGATGCATAAATAAACTGAGGCACATTCAATATGGACTGAAATTGCCCTCCTGACAGCTATTCTGTGTTTCTGATTCTTAATTCTCTTAGCCAGCCTTTCCCCCACTCTGGAACGGACCCCAACAAACACCAGCTCAATAGGTGGGACTTCAGAGCAGGGAGAATAAGTAGGAGGGGGATTTTAGGCTCAAAGAAGAAAGAAAAAGAGACACAAGGGAGATGCCAGAAGCCAGACGGATAGACACCCAAGAGCAGGAAAATAGGACATACAGAATGAAAGAAAGGTAAAAAAAAATCCTGAGGCAAAATATAAGTGAATAGAAACAGGTTTAAAAAAGCTAAAAGACCCAGTGTGACAAGCCTCAGCTAAGGCCCAGCATTCATAGTTAATAATAAGTCTCCATATCTTTATTTGGGAGTTGGTTGGTGGTCCAAAGAAAAACCCAACTACAGTTTTTTTTTTCTTTTTTCAAATAGTTTCTCTATATAGCTCTTGTTGTCCTGAAACTCTTTTTGTAGACCAGGCTGACCTCAAACTCACAGAGATCTGCCTCTTTGCCTCCTGCGTGCTAAGATTAAAGGCATTCACCACCATGCTGCCAATATTATCCTATTTTTAGCTTGTTTAAAAAGATCTATTTTTATGAGTATTGCAGTTCCTCCAGCATGCTTGTTTGTGTACCACATACTAGCCAGGTGCCTGCAGAGGGTAGAAGAGGGCTCTGCATCTCTTAGATCCATTACAGATGATTGAGAGGCACTATGTGGGAGTACTCTGAACGTGAGTCCTCTGCAAAAGCAGGAAGTATTCTTAACCAGTGAGTGATCTCTCCAGCTCCTATTTTTAGTTTCTTAAGAAACCTCCACACTGATTTCCATGGCAGCTTCAACAGTCTACATCCCCAACAATAGTGAATAGCATCTTCACACTGCTATTCCTCATCATCCCGACGGATCAGAAACCTGATGAAGATGCTGGACACAAGCTTTGGATATATACTAAAAGCATTTGTTATAGTCTAGCAATAAACGAGGACAACAACTAAGGTAGAGGACATGCAAACTTGGAAGTTGATTTAAGAGATATTAAAAGTGGAGTGTGCTATTAATCCCAGCACTCAGGAGGCAGCAGCAGGAAGATCTCTGTGAGTTCAAGACCAGCCTAGTCTATGGTCTACATATGATTTCCAGGAGAGAGAGGAGTAAGTAAAACAAACAAACAAAAAAACCCTGTCTCAAAAAATAGCCAGATAGCCAGAGAGAGAGAGAGACAGACAGAAACAGAGACACAGATAGAGACAGAGACAGAGAGAGACAGAGAGAGAAGATTGAGATATTCCTGAGGCAAACTAGAAAAGCTTAATGAGCAAATGGACAAAACTGGAAAGGTGCTTGTAAGAAAGGGTGACTCAAGGGTTTGAAATCTAGGGATCTAAGTGGATAAGAGCAGTAAGATGGACAAGACGTTTAATATAAAGTTAAAGGAAAACCTCACAATTTGAGGATGGGTTGCCTTGAGTAAAGAGCTAAGCTGGAATCTGGAATCTGGTAAAGATGAGTCCCTCTGGGCTGGTGTGTGGCTCAGCAGGTAAAAACCCTGACTTTTAAGCCTCACCTGAGTTTAATTCCTGTTGTCTGCATAGAGGAAGGAGAGAATTGACACCCTCAACTTGTTTCTGACCTCCATGTGCACACGGTGGCAAGGTGCACTCGTGTGTGTGCAAACATACACATACACACACTCACACACATATAAATGAAATTTTTTAAAATACAGGCTTTTTTTCCCTTTGCTAGTACAAAAACTAAGCAATGGGGCAGGCTTTAACCCCAGCACTCAGGAGATAGAGGCCAGTGGATCTCTGTGAGTTTCTGGTTGGCACAGTCTACATAGTGAGTTCCAGGACAGCTAGGGCTAAATAGTAAGACCCTGTCTAAAACAACAATAAGCAAACAAACAAAGCTAACAACTAAGAAATGATGCAAGTTGAAATTCTTCACAGCATCTGAGTTATCTCCATGATGTGTGCATATTTGAGAAACCTCAGCTTCAAATGATTATGCTTGAGATACAGTCTAGGGTCTATCCCTGGGCTACATCCCCAGCCCCAGGGTGAGCTATAGGAAACTGTTAATGTATTGCTGTCTGTAACACCAGCTATGCACAATGCATCTGGACACACAGGAATTTTGGGACACCTTCTAAGGGACAAAATCTCTGGGCTCCTTCTGTTCCCCAGGTGACCTGGGCAGCGTGGACCTGAGTTTCTACCCTGAAGTTTGTGGTTAGTTTTGGTCAGCTTGACACAAACTAGAGTCACCTGGGAAGAGGGGGCCTTGATTGAGGAACTGCCTCCACCAGGTTGGCTTGTGGGCGTGACTTCCGGTCATTGTCCTGATAATGATGCAGATGGGAGGGGTTGGGAGGGCCCAACCCACTGTGGCCAGAGCCACCCTGTCAGGGTCATGGGTGTGTAAGAAAGCAAGGATAGAGATCAACACAGTAAGCAGCGCGCCCGGGTGTCTGTGTCAGCTTCTGCCTTGGTTTCCCTCAATGGTGGACTGTAACGCGGGAGTGAATTAAATCCCCCACCAAGATGCTTTTGGTCGTGGTGTATACCAGGGTGTCTGGGGTTCTCACAGGTGAGATGCTGGCAGCAGCGGCCAGGCCAGCGGTCTCCCAGTTTACTTCCAAGTGGAGGCTCCTCCACCAGGCCCTTGCTGCCTGGAGCCTTTTTCATCACGTGATCGCTCAGGCTTGTGCTAGATGGAGCTTGACTGTCCTCTTGCAACACAATCCTGTACGAAGTCCAAGATTCCCTGGCCTGATTCTGACAGGTCCCTGGGGGAAGGTGACACGGGGTGGAACCTCCAGGCCTGGAAGGACAGGAGCCCCAGAGGGATCTGTCCAAAAGCTTGGCAGCAGCGGCGACACCATTAGCCTGGAGTGGCCAAGCTGGAGTTGGAAGTGGAGTTCCGTGGGTTTGGGGCCGCGCCTGCCGCACAGCGGCTCCTCCAGGCCGAGACCCCGGCGCAGAATGAACAGAAGGCAGCGACCTCCCGGAGGAGTGGCCGGGCCAGGAGCACGCTGAGCTGCTTCTCCACCGCGGTCCTGTATGCAGCCTTCCTGGGGCTGGTGAGAGCTGAGGCTGCACCCCTCCCAGGCTGGGCACTAGCCTCCTGCAGGGGACCTGCCCTCCCCAGCTGGACTCTCACCTTCGCTCCCTGCACGTTCTGTGACTTTGGGCACTTCGGACCCATCAGCTATCTCGTGGGCGCTAATTTAATCACTGTGGGTTACTGTCCAGTTCGAAATTGATTGTGCTATTTTCTAATTGCCGCAAACTTTCCTGGCGTTGCCTGGGTCTGCAGCCACTGCACCTCGAACTATAACTTACTACACAATAAACTGACTTTTCTAGCCCTTCCACTTCTCGATGGCCACCCACTTGGTTTTGCAAATAGGAACCAGGCCCAAGAGGAATGAGGCTTTTTCCTGGTCATGCAGGTGTTTTAGTGGCGGAGCCAGAATCTGTCTCCCCACGATTCTATTGAAACGAGCCCTGCAGCACCTTTCATGTTTTCTTAGAGCAAAATGAAGTGGTTTGGCCAATGCCTGTGTAAACGGTGGGAAATTCCGTGTTGCTTGGAAATTGGGACCTGGGGGAGCTGTGGGTTGGGTTCCCCCAAGACAAAGCTATTTTTCCCCTCTTTGAGAGCCTCTCAAGCTTGGAGAGACTGACTGAAGCTATAAGCACTGAAAAACTTTCTGTCACCACCATAATTGATTGGTCTAAGTGGAATCTCCATTCTTTACACGGTTCTGCTTTTTCGTTCTTGTTATCTGTCTAAACTACAAAGGATGGCTGGGTAGGAACACTTATTGCCCCCCAACCCTTGGGAGGGCAGAGTCTTGCTATATAGCCCAGGCTGGTTTCAATTCTGCATTCCCCTGCTTCTTCCTCCATGCCTGGCCCTGATTATATCTCCTGAGGGGATATGACACACTGGGAAATAACATGATGTCATCAAGAAAATAATACCATGAAACTCAGCACAATCCTAATGGCTGTCTCTGGGAACCAAACTGAACATAATCAAATAACCCAAATATTACATTAAAATAGAGTTCAAATATTTTATTTCCTATTGGTCAGAATTGTAGTTTGGGTTGTCATGTGACTAAGGACTATAGCAAGCTGTGAAATCCACTGACTTAGTCTTTTTGTAGTTAGCCTGTAACACACATGGGAACCTAAAAACACACTTAACTATCATGACAAGAAAGTCTTTGGACAGCCAGGCTTACAACCCACTATTCTGGATGCCAGCAAGCCAACTTACCTGCTCCCACAAACAATATGCCTTTCTTTTTTCTGAGTTGTTTCCTTAAGATAGTCACTCATTCATTCATTCAGCAACAGCACCACCAGGTATTTTATTGATTGGTTTAGTACTATCATCATCATCATTTATTATTATTGTTACTATTATCATTATTGTTGCTGTGAATTGAACCCAGGACCTTGTCCATTTGACATGCATGCTCTCCCGGTTCCTCAGCCACCCTTTTCATTACTTTTTTTCCCTACTGGGTCTCACTATATAGCCCTGTCTGATGTTGAACTTGCTGTGTAGACCATGCTTGCCCCAAACTCTTAGACAACCACCCACCTCTGCCTTCTGAGCTCTGGGATCACAGGTGTGAGCCACCACACTCAGCCTCACTACTCTTGTACAGTAGTAAAATCAAGGGAATGCTAGGTACAGCATTCTATTTTACTCAGCAACACATACAAACCCACAACATGGCCAAGAAGATTCAAAGCTAAATTTTGTTCCACTAATCAATGGGCATGAATGTTTTCCTCCACCTGAGAGCTCCTCACCCTTCTGAGCAGGAGCTCTGATCTGCTACAACACACATTTCCCCAAACTAACATCTTACCTTCAAGGACTACAACAGCACCACCTGTTGCCCAGAGTGAGTCTAGTTCGGGAATCCTGTTAGGACTTTTCTTCAGTAGAAACTAACATGTTTGCCACATGGTTGGAACTAATTTTGGATATTGAACACTTTGTTATGATTGTGGAAAGTATGGAAACTTTATGGAAAACTGCTCAGAAAGCAGGAGAGAGCCAGGTCAAACAGCTAGTTCTCAAAGATAGGAAAGTTGGATAGAGTGAAGAAATTCCCCATAGACCAACCTCGGTCCTTGGAGACTAGAAAACATGGCTACCTAGGGGCATTTGAGCAGGACTCAGTTAAATTTGCACATCCTGAGTTTATGTAGCTCTTGAACATGGTCCAGTTGAAAACATCTTTTGCAATCCCTTAGCATGAAGTAATAGTGAAAAGACAACTTCCTGGACTTAGTGGTCACATAGATCATTCCAGGCCCTATGTGCTCAAGATCAACCTCTTGCAGATGTCACTCAGATCAGTTCCCTGTATTTGCTGGTGACTACATTAGTAACTAGAAAGCCAGGACCATATTCCCATCGAGGCACAGAGCAGTGATATCCACCATGTCAAAGAGAGCTTTCCCTCCTTCTCTGGGGATTCACAGTGGTGGAGTAGAAACATGGAACAATGTTGGCCATAGTGGTAGTGTTTCCTGATTTGGAGGCTTTGATACGCCATAAACCCAACAGCTGCTGGTTTTTGTTTTGTTGCATGGCATTAACCTTGGTATAGCCTCCATGGTGCTGTGTATCTTCCTAGAAGGAAAGGTAGCATCAAGATAGCCAGTGATGGAAAAAGAAAGGTTTTGCAGTAACAGATCAGTCTTGATCCATGTGTTAGGATGCCCTCTGCTTCTTGGAAGATACATTTCTAGGTAGGTTTGCTATAAGGCTCCCTATAGATGTATAGTTTGAAGAGTCTTGAGAGCTGTCAGTCTAGAACTCAGGGCTCTGATGATTTGGTGTGTATACACTGGTATGGTCTCTTCCAACAGAGCCAGAGGGAGCCACTTACGGTGTTATGCCATTGACAGGCAATCCGGTCAATCCAGGCGTGATATCACTGTGTCTGTGACACTCATACATTGAAACTAGTATTTCTGTTGCTGGAGATCTTTGCAGGAATGCCCCCAGGAGGAAAGCACTTTTTAAAAAATAACTGTAGCTATGTATAGTGTTAGCCATTCTGTACAAAAAAGTTTTTGTCACCTAGGAGATAAGCACTAAAAGGGGCCAGTGAGTGAATCCACCCAAAAGTGTTCAAACCATCCAGCAATGGCTACAGTATTAATAATTTGAGGGTTTATTGTCTTATAAAATTAACCAAACACGAGCCCTTTGTGCGGTTTTAATAGAATAGCCACCCATTGTTGTTTTTTCATTATTTGTGACATTTCAGCTCTTCCATGAGGACTCCTGTAGGGCAGAGATTGTGGAAGGATCCAGCAGCTCCAGGCAGTCATGCAAGCTGACCCTGAATCAGAGCTCCCAGGCTGATCCTCCTGCCTCAGCCTCCTGATCACTTATAACTACATGTATGGCTGTTGTCCCAAGCTCTTGTATATACTTAAAGATACAAACATGATTATGACTTACATTAGGACTGTTTTTTAAGGATTTATTTATTTATTATGAATACAACAGCCTGCCTCCATGTCTGCATGCCAGAAGAGGACACCAGATCTCATTATAGAGGACTGTTACATTTCTGTGGATCTCATATAACTTCTGAAATATTAACACATTGAGACAAATGCAGCTTAAAGAGATTTGAACATATTGCTTATTTGACCATGATTCACACATCATTTATCAAACATAACCAATTAATTAGCTATTTCTCTATTTTTAGGAATATAGCACATGTTTTTTTAGAGAGACCAAGGGACATTCTGAAAGACCCCAAATTATTTCAGGGTAAAGAAAAATATAAATTTGAAGGTCATAAAAATATCAAAAGTTTAACACATTTGATCAATATAGAAATTGCAGATCATAGTGAAAAATAATCCTTTATTTAACCAAAGTGGTATTACTGGTCAATCTAAATTCTAAAAATTATGTGCACTAAGCTTAGGTTGGTTAGTAGAGAAGACTCAGTTTCTTAAGTGATGAGGAAGTCCTGTGTATATGTCAATAAAGCACTGTTGGCCAATAGGGAAGCAAGATAGGTGGGACTAGGAGTCCAGTAGGACTCTGGGTAGGAGAAACACAGGGAGTCACGATGTAGCCTGCCAGAGAAGTAAGATGTCCAGAACTTTTCTCCAGTAAGAGAAATACTTAGAATAACAATTATGGAGTAAATACTTAAGCCAGTAAGAAACAAGCAAGGCCAACCGCTTCATAATTAATACAGCGTCTTGTGTGTTATTTGGGGACTACAATGCGGCAGAGCCCAGGCGACTGGTGGGGAAGAACCAAAGCGCCTGACAAGAAAAAGGCATCACTCTACACTTAAGTGGTTTTGAAAAAAAATCACGAGTACAGCATGAAACACAGGAAATTATTGTTGATGAAGTTTTCTGTCCCACCAGGGTCCTGCCACCCTTGAGGCCCTAATCAACACATGGAAGTTATATTATAAAATTTTTGGCCAGTGGCTAGGGCTTCTAATTGGCAAGCTCTGTCTTAATTATTAATGCATAAATACTAATCTATGTGTTTCCATGTGGTCTTGGCTTACCAGAAAATGCCCTATTACTCCTTTGGCAGCCTACATGGCAACTCTCTGGCGGGCTCTCCCAGCCTACCTTTCCCAGAATTCTCCTGTCTCCTAGTCTGATAGCCCAGCCTATCCTTCCTGCCTGGCCACTAGCCAAACAGTGTTTTATTCATCAACCAATAAGAGAAACATGCATACAAAAGGACATCCCCCATCAAATTATGTTAAACATTTCCTTGACTCTTTGTTTCTTGGGCCCAAACAACTCAAATGCAATAATGAAACAGACCCTTCACATTTCCCATTGAGCACCATCTAACACACCAGGAAACAAGAAGACCAAATTCTAGTTTTCCAGTTTGCTTTAGTATTGTTGCTCAATTTCTAGAAAAGCTTCAAACAATTTTCATCTACTGTCAGCCAGTTTGTCCACACAGAAAGTGTTTTCACAAGTTCTTCTACATTCTTCCTGCAATATTCTTACTCATTCTACTTTGGTCATATTGTTCTTAGTTTAGAAGAATAGTCCTACTTTAGGGCATGAAGAAATTCATTTTTCCTTTGATAATGCATCTTCATACTTTACAGTGTTCCTTCCTGCCCTGGTGACTTTTCTATTGCCATGACCATGACCATGACCAAGGCAGCTTATAAAAGAGCTTGTGTGGGGCTCACAGTTTCAGAGGGCTAGAGTTTCTGACCATCATAGAAGGGAGCATGGGAGCAGTCAGACAAGCATGGTGCTGGAGCAGGTGCTAAGAACTTACATGTTCAGACAGCAACCACAAAGCCAGCGGGGGAGGGGGACCAGTAATGGCTTGGACTTTAAAAAACCTCTAAACCTACCCCCAGTGACACACTTCCTCCAATAAGGCCATACGTTCTAACCCAATCCTTCCCAAACAGATCCACTAACTGAAGACCAAGTTGTTGTGGAATATTACTTTAACTTGGCAAAGATGTGTTATACTTGTTTATGTTACATTTGTTTAATTATGGAAATGGGTGTTGTTGTTTTACCTTGCCTGACTAAGGCACTTGATTGGTCTAATACAAAGCTGAATGGCCAATAGCTAGGCAGTAGAGGGCTAGGCAGGGCAGGTGGGCAGAGAGAATGAGGAGGAGGAGGAATCTAGACATAAGAGGACAGAGAGAAAAGGGAAGAGAGAGTGAGTGAGAGAGGAGCATGCCTAGGGACAGGCAGCCCCCAGACAGACAGACACAGAGTAGGACGTACAGAATGTTATGTGTGTCCTACTGAGGCAAAGCAGATGAAAAGAAACAGGTGAATTTAAGTTACAGAAAAATAGCTAGCCAGAAATGAGCATAAGCCAAGGCTGAGCATTCATAACTGATAAGTCTCCATGTCACGATTTGGGAGCTGGTTACCGGCCCAAAGAAAGAGTGTGACATTTGGCATTACAATGTGGGGCCTGAATTTCCACATAGGATCTGAAAAAGAAAGAAGAAAAAGGAAACAAAAAGCAAATCTGGCTCCTTTAAGAGGCTCTTCCGTGCAGTGAGCACTTGAAAAGCCGCACATTAAGTAGAAACAAAAAGCTGGAAAAAAAAATGTCTGCAACGTACCATGTTTGTCTTTTTGTGACTGGGTTACCTCACTCAGGATGGTTTCTTCTAGTGTCATCCATTTGCCTGCAAATCTCAAGATTCCATTGTTTTTCCGCAGAGTAGTACTCCATTGTGTAAATGTACCACATTTTCTCTATCCACTCTTCGGTTGAGGGGCATCTAGGTTGCTTCCAGGTTCAGGCTATCATAATGCTGCTATGAACATAGTGGAGCAGATGTCCTTGTTGTATGAATGTGCATCTTTTGGGTATATGCCTAAGAGTGGAATTGCTGGGTCTTGTGGTAGACTGGTTGCCATTTTCCTGAGGAACCGCCATACTGAATTCCAAAGTGGCTGTACAAGTTTGCATTCCCACCAGCAGTGGAGGAGACTGTTCCCCTTTCTCCACATCCTCTCCAACATAAATTGGTGTTTGAGATTTTAGCCATTCTGACAGGAATAAGATGGTATCTCAGAGTTGTTTTGATTTGCATTTTCCTGATGGCCAAGGATGTTGAGCACTTTCTTAAGTGTCTCTCAACCATTTTAGATTCCTCTATTGAGAATTCTCTATTTAGTTCTGTACCACACTTTTTAATTGGATTATTTGGTGTTTTGGTGACTAGCTTCTTGAGTTCTTTGTATAATTTGGAAATCAGCCCTCTGTCTGATATGGGCTGCTGTTTTGTCTTGTTGACTGTGTCCTTTGCCTTACAGAAGCTTCCCAGTTTCAGGAGATCCCATTTATTAATCGTCGATCTCAGTGTCTGTGCTACTGGTGTTACGTTCAGGAAGCAGTCTCCTGTACTAATTCGTTCAAGGGTACTTCCACTTTCTCTTCTAAGAGATTCAGTGTGGCTGGATTTATGTTGAGGTCTTTGATCCATTTGGACTTAAGTTTTGTGCATGGCAATAGATATGCATCTCTCTGCAATCTTCTACACACCAGCATCCAGTTATGCCAGCACGATTTGTTGAAGATGCTTTCTCCCCATTGTGTAATTTTAGCTTTTTTGTCAAAAATCAGGTGTTTGTGGGTGTGTGGGTTAATATCTGGATCTTCAGTTCGATTCCATTGGTCTACCTGTCTATTTTTGTGCGAATACCAAGCTGTTTTCATTACTATAGCTCTATAGTCAGGGATGGTGATGCCTCTGGAAGTTCCTTTATTGTACAGGGCTGTTTTGGTTATCCTGGGTTTTTTATTTTTCCATATAAAGTTGAGTATTGTTCTTTTAAAAATGTCTGTGAAGAATTGTGCTGAGATTTTGTTGGGGATTGCATTGAATCTGTAGATTGCTTTTGGTAAGATTGCCATTTTTACTATGTTGATCCTACCTTTCCAAAAGCATGGGGGATATTTCCATTTTCTGGTATCTTCTTTAATTTCTTTCTTTAAAGACTTAGAGTTCTTGTCATACATGTCTTTTGCTTGTTAGGTTAGAGTTACCCCAAGATATTTTATGTTGTTTGCAGCTATTGTGAAGGGTGATGTTTCTCAGATTTCTTTCTCAGTGCATTTATCATCTCTATATAAGAGGGCTATGGATTTTTTTAGTTAATCTTGTATCCTGCCACTTTTTTGAAGGTGTTTATCAGCTATAGGTATTCCCTGGTAGAATTTTTTGGGTCACTTATAGATAAAAGGATAACTAGCCTATAATCCACAACCCCAGAGAAACTGGGAAACAAGGAAGACCCTAAGAGAGACATATATGATCTCCTGGAGAAGGGAAAGGGACAAGATCTTCTGAGGGAGTGGAGGGGGAGGAGAAAAAAATGATCGATTAGGAAGATAGAGTTGGGGGAAGAATAGAGAAGGAGATCAAGAAAAGAGATATCTAAATAGGAGGGAGCCATTATAGGTTTAAAGAGAAATACTCCTTGATTTCTAAGCCAGGCGAGGGACCTTGTCTAGAAATATGAGGTGAACAGCACCTGAGAACAAATATTTAAATTTCTAATAATTCATAAGGATGCTGGAGAGACGGCTCAGAGGTTAGGAGTATTTACTGCCCTTGCAGAGGACCAGGTTGGTTCCCAGCAGCCACAGTGGGCAGGTAAAACTCCCGCTCTGGAGGAATCTTACACCTCAGGCCTCCTCAGGCAACTGCACTCATGTGCACATACCCACATATACACACACAGAGACGGAAATAAAAGGAATTTCAGAATTAAGTTTTAAACAATGCATGAAATGAAAACTTGAAAAACCTAGAAGGTACAAGAAAGACAAGATGTGTCTTAGCAAGGGTAACCTCAGAGAACACTGACACTTCTTAAATAGGAGAAAAATGAGCTCATTGCTGTGCTACAGTATATGATCAGTTCAAAAGTAAGACGAGGAAATGGGGGAAAACTAAACAGA